TAGCTCTTCCACACCACACTCGCCAAAGTAATCCCTGAGTAGCCCAAAGCAGTTCTTCCATAGCACACTCACAAAAGTGATCCCTGAGTAGTTCAACGCAGCACTTCCACAGCATGTTCACCAAAGAGATCCCGGAGTAGCCCAAAGTAGCTCTTCCACAGCACGTTCCCCAGAGTGATCCCTGAGTTTTCAAGCTAGCTTTTCCACAGCACGTTCACCTTGTGATCTCTGAGTAGCCCAAAGTGGCTCTTTCACAGCACGCTCGCCAAACTGATCCCTGTTCAACAAAGTAATCCCTGAGTAATTCAACGTAGCACTTCCACAGCACATTCACCAAAATGACCTCTGAGTATTCACACCACATTCACCAAACTGATCCCTGAGTAGCTAAACCTAGCTGCCTAGCTCTTCCACAGCACATTCACAAACTGATTTCTAAGTAGTTCAACTTAGCTTGTCCACAGCAACCACAGTTTTTAGTAGCGCAACTTAGCTTCTCCACAGCACATTTACCAAAGAGACCGCAGGATAGTTGTAGACTTGTAATGTACTTATCAAAGCAGTTTTTTCCCCACCCGTAGGACTGTGGGGCTGTTAGATTTTAAGAACTTTGGACTTCAGTAGACTCGCTACTTCTGCACATCCACCAGAGTGGTCCCAGCGTAGCTCAGAGCAACCCAAAGAACCACATCCACCAGAGTGGCCCACAGTGGCCCAGAGTAGCCCTTACACAGCACATCCACCGGAGTGGCCCCGAGTAGCCCAGCGTAGCCTTTACACCAGCACATTCACCAGAGTGCTCCCAAGTACCAGTTCCACAGCATATCCACCACAAGTTGACTTGGCAGGGATGCGGGGTTGCCAGGCATTAAAATATCGAAGTTCAGAAACCTCACAAGTAAGTATTCGATGTGTGGTTTTGTTTTCAATAAAGAATCCTTTTCGCGCCGAACCGCTTTTCTCTTGTGAAGACCAATTTTTTGAGGGTGGGGAATTTTGAAGTAAAGTAATTGATGTTTTTTAAATATAGGTCTTCCACACCAACCACCTATCAGAGATCTTGTGGAAAGTGAGCATTTGACATGGTGCCACAATAAAAAATTGGTTGCCCATAGAATGCAATATTAAGCCATTGCAGCCACCAGCTGCTATAAAATAGATTCCTGCCCAATCTGACATAGGTGAAAAAATAATAGATAGTATAGATCTCAGCATGGTTTTTTCAATTTATCAAGCCCTAAAAACCATTGTTATTGAGGCAGGATTTAAAAGCCATATGTGCAAAGAGAGGGTTGAGGGGTGACAGTTTATACTGACAGAAGGTGAGTGGTGTGATCAGGTATTCATTCTATGATCATGAACTCTTACCCAACCCCTACCTGGAATTCCATCGGGGATTATATAGCTATATGTATATAAAAATGAATCTGGCGAACGAAGTGAGTATTATCAGGGCCAAGCACGTTGCTCTAAGCGTTTGCGAGGGCTGGCTTTCGTTCCTCATTTTTCAGGTGTATATGTTTATTGCGCTGTTTATTGTAATTTGGTTTGTGCACAATACGTTGCATCCAATAACAAGTCAAAACAATTCTGGTGTAGCTTCGCAGGTCGTGTTTCGCAGCAAGTCCTGTCCTGTCCTCGCTATTTGCATGAAACAGAAGGAAAGATGGAGCCATGTCGCGGGCGAGTCCACAACGCCGCTCTTCAAGTCAGAAATCCAAGGCGTGTCAGTCCTTTGTTATGTGTTGGAGGGGCCATGAGGAAGCAAGAGCAGGGCCGGAAACATATGGTGCTGCAAGGAACAGGGGACAACATGTTTTGTTGCTAGCACTCGGCTAGCCGCTAATCATATTGGAGGGTTGGTGAGTAAATTTGGCCGAGTCCCTTGCGCAATTTTCCGGGTGCTCACGGACGCACCTCACTGTCTAACAATCTCTCTCTCTATATTATATATATATATGAATATGTGTTTCCTCCCTTTTAACCCGTGCTGGCTGCAGACTGGGGTTGGAATGATATGATAATGATAGGATATGATAGGTTTGCTTGGCTCAAGGGCACCTCTTTTGACCAGGCAACTCCTGGTCACCGGAGTGGAATCGATTTGTGGCATGCGTTGACCCGTTATGGGTCAGTAGTCTCCGCGTGTTGAAACATATTCCCATAGCAGGAGAAGTCAGACAAAGCGGCTGCTGTGCAGAAAAATTTAGAGGCGTGCAAGGGTTTGGGGGCACGAGAGAGGCCACGCAACATTGTGTGTGTGTGAAAGCGGGCAGGAGGTTGCCGTCGTCACTTTGTGAATTTTATGCTGTTTCGATCTCCTTTGGGTTGTTCAATTCCGACAGATTCTTACAGGCAATGTTGCGCATCAACAGTCAGAAGTTGCATACACATTTGAGTCAGCTAATGAGCCACGCCTTCAAACTGATTTTATTTCAGTACCTCCACCACAGTAGAATAAGGTTTTCCAGTTTTACACCTTATAAATTGTCAGACTTTTGTTGGATCCTATTGCTGGGGTGCACTGGTAGTTCAATGACTGGAGATGATGGGTTGCTTCCGCAACCCTCACAGGCCATCAACGGCCGTGGTGCTGGAAGGCACACACTGATCGCGCAGCAGCCCGGTGGAAGGTCCAGGAGTGGGTGGGATCACGAGGTTCCTGTAGCTCAGTCTGAATGTGTGTGTGTGTATATATATATTTCCCCACCTGCCAGGTGAGGGTTGTTAGATTTTATCACAGTTGTTCTTCCTCCTCCTCCTTCCTTCCTCCTTCCTCCTTGCTTCCTTCCTCGCCAATCTTCATCGCCTCGCCAATCTGCATCGCCAATCTTCATCGCCAATCTGCTTCGCCAATCTGCTTCGCCGATTTTGTCTGGCCAGCTCCGGATCGCAGTGTGCACCCCTGGACCTCAACCGCAAGGATCCCCTCGCAGTGTGCACCCCTGGACCTCAACCGCAAGGATCCGAGCGCAGTGTGCACCCCTGGACCTCAACCGCAAGGATCCCCTCGCAGTGTGCACACCTGGACCTCAACCGCAAGGATCCGATCGCAGTGTGCATCCCTGGACCTCAACCGCAAGGGTCCGATCGCAGTGTGCACCCCTGGGCCTCAACTGCAAGGATCCGATCGCAGTGTGCACCGCTGGACCTCAACCAGATAGTTTGCCAGATAAAATGCCAGATAGAATGCCACGTAGATTGCCAGATAGAATGCTGCAAGAAGATATGCCAGATAGTATGCCAAATAGTGTGTCAGATAGATTGCTAGATACATTGCCAGATAGACTGCCAGAAAATATGCCAGATAGAATGCCAGATAAAATGCCCGATAGAATGCCAGAAGATATGCCAGATAGAACGACAGATAGTATGCCAGACAAAACGCCAGATAGTATGCCAGACAGTATGCCAGATAGTATGTCAGATAGATTGCGAGATAGAATGGCAGATTGAATGGCAGATAGTATGCTTCAAACACACAACCACAAACACAACCACAAGCTCACAACCACAAACACAGACATACAAACACATAACCACAAGCACACAGCCACAAACACAACCACAAACACGCAACCACAACCACAACAAACACAACAACAAACACAACCACAAACATAACAACAAACACACACCCACAAAGACACAACAATCGACACACAACCACAGACACACAACCACAAACACTCAACCACAAACACACAACCACAACAACAAAACCACAAAGACACAACCACAAACACACAACCACAAACACAACCACAAACATAACAACAAACGCACACCCACAATCACACAACAATAGACACACAACCACAAACACACAACCACAACAACACAACCACAAAGACACAACCACACACACAACCACAAACACACAACCACAAACACAACCAGAAACACACAATCACAAATACACAATCACAAGCACAACCACAACACACAACCACAAACACCATCACAAACACAACCACAGCACACAACCACAAACATAACAACAAACACACAACCACAAAGACACAACAAGAAACACACAACCACAAACACAACCACAAACACACAACTACAAACACAACCACAAACACATCCACAAACACACAACCACAAACACACAACCACAAACACAACCACAAACACACCACCACAACACACAAACACAAACACAGCCACAAACACACAACCACAAACACACAACCACAAACACGCAACCACAACAACACGACCACAAAGACACAACCACAAACGTACAGCCACAAGCACAACCGCAAACACATCCACAAACACACAATCACAAACACACAGCCACAAACACACAATCACAAACACAACCACAACCACAACACAGCACACAACCACAACACACAACCGCAGCACACAACCCGAGGACCCGCAAGCAAAATCGAGAACTACAATACTCACGACCATGGCAACATGCTCCTCACTATGGCATCAAGTCAAATGATTGAAATGTCATGGTGGGGATCACTCGAAGTAAAGTAATTTTTTGTTTTTTACTTATGAATGTATGTGCTGTATATTTCTCGAAAGCCAGCCGATAGGCAAGGCTTGAGCTTTTGGGGCGAACGAAGTGAGTTAAGGGGGTGGGGTGGTCGCTGAGCGAAACCTCTTGATAGGGCGAACCCAGAGCTTGGTCGGGGAGAGCGCTCCAAAGCGACGTCCGAAAAGCAGTGAAAATTGGGCCTGGTGATGCGAGTGATGTAATGGACGCCTAGCAGTGCATCATTAGCATCATGAAGGGCTTTGGAGACTATTTGGGCAGTGGGCATAGGTCTCTCCCTTCTATATACCGTATTTGTACATACATATATATATAGCTATACTTCGGCATATCCAAAGGAGTGACGATAATTCATTGTGGCAGTGAGTATGTCTTTCGCAATGGAAGAGGTCAGCGAATGCCATAGATGCATTTGATGAGAGGCATGGCCTTTGACACCTAGGAATTTTTTGTTCGTTTACGTTGGTCTTAAGCAGCTGCTGCAATGCTAGTGTTTTTACTTGGTGTCGTTACTGGTGAATGGTTTTTGTTTCGCAGTTCGTGTTGAATGCGTGTGGGTTTTTGTTCGGGCTTAGTGTGCAGCAGCTTTAGGAGCAACGGATCCCACAGGACAACAAAGGAGGAAACAGTACGCCGCCATTCTGCACATGCGAGTTCAAGCATCACCCCCACACAATTGGCAGGCCGGGATGCTTTGGTGATGTTCATTGTTTTTTGTGTTGTACTCCAGTTTGATGCAAGTGCAGCCAACCGTCGGAACCATATCACAGCAGAAAATCTTTACAGTTGCATCAGCCTGCGCAGGCAAGCACACTGCATCAGCCTCCTCTTTTTTGTTTGATGCAGTGGAGCGCTCCAGTTTGAGCGCAGCGACGGAGGCAGCTGTTCAAGACATAGCTTGCGAAATACTGGAGGCAGAGGACTGCCAGTAAACGGATGCGAAGGCCGAAACCAACTGGATTGCCAGAATTGCCAGCTAGTGCCAGGTTGCAATGAATCAATTCCAGAATGATAGGTAAGAACTGATTGCCCCAGCTGTGCTGTTTGTGTTCGGTGCGCTTTCCACAGGACTCAGCCGTCAACCTCAGCCGTCCCAGATCCAGAGCACTTTGTCGCAATTAGCTTTGAGGCGCCGTCCTGTTCAAGCATCCAAACCAAAAGGAAACCACCCTAGTAACAAGAAGCTGCTAGGGCTAGGGGCTCCTGGCCTTACTACTAGGATTATGAGAATCTTACAGCCACAGACTGGGGGTGGACAAAACATTTATTTGTTCATTTCGTCTTCGTTTTCATCATCATTTTTTCATGCCCATTTGTGTTTTTTTCATGTAAATGTGTGTCTTCGTTTGCATCATCATGTTTTTTACACGCCCACCCGTGTTGTTTCATGCGTGATTGCGTTTATCGTTTGCGTGCCCTGAAGCGAAGGCTGCCAAGTCACTTACTCCTGAACCCTCTTTGCTACCCTGGTCGGCTAGTCACCTTCTTCTATTTTGCTTTAGCTGTTGTGAAATGTACTTAAACTGTCGTTCACGCGTTGCCGAAACTATCTGAACTTAAAACAACATGAATAGACTAAATTATATACATGAACACATGAATTAAATTACAATGTTGCCAATGTGTGGCCGAAACTAGCCAAAGCGATCATGAAAGACAAAAGAATGCCGGAGCTCAATTGCAATTGCCTCCCCTGAAGGAAAGCGGCCAAGTGAGCTAGTCCTGAACCCTCTTTGCTGGTGGATCACACGTTTCCTTCTATTTTGCTTTAGCTTTTGTGAAATGGACCTGACTATCGTTGATTTGTGGCGCAAACTAGCCAAAACGAAAAATACATTAAAAAGAAAACGAAAAATAAATGAAAAGCAAAAACGAAACGAAAAAAAAAAAGCGAAAACAAGATGAAAAAAGAAACGAAAAATAAATGAAAAGCAAAAACGGAAAATTGTTGTTCGCTCAAAAATTGCAATTTTCCTCGAGTGTTTCTATTTGTATCTATTTGTTTTTTTTTCGTTTCTTTTTCGTTTTTCGTTGCTTTGTGGCCGAAACTAGCCAAAATGAAAAAAAAACAAAAAAATGAAAAACAACTCGAGGAAAATTGCAATTTTTGAGCGAACAAAAATGTTCATTTTTTTCGTTGTTTTTTGTTTTTTTTCCGTTTCGTTTTTGCTTTTCATTTATTGTTCGTTTCTTTTTTTCGTTTCGTTTTTGCTTTTCATCTATTTTTCGTTTATTTGTTCATGTTTTTTCGTGTGGCATTTTGGTTTTCATTTGCTTCCACATTTTTTTCATTTGTCATTTTGGTGTTCATTTGGTTCGTCATGTATTTCATTTGTGATGTTGGTTTTCATTTTGTTAATCATTTTCTTTTCATCTGTCATTTTGGTCTTCATTTGGGTCATAATTGTTTATATTGTTTCTGACAATTTCGTGTATAATTTTAGTTTTCATTCAGGGCTGTCTCTTGACTAACCTGTTTTACTTCCCATCAGTGTATGACAAATTTCTAGGCCACTAGGCTCAGGCTTTTGGGGCCCAGTGGTTTAGCTCAGCAGCTTGCAAGTTGCATTCCATGATTTTGATCCTTGGTTTCGATTGCTCGGGAAGGGATGGGTGAGGGAATCCCTTCACGCATCTATATATAGTTTGGGGCGCTGACTGTGACTGAAGTGATTTTGGAAGCCCATGGGAAGTGACAGCAAAGCCAACCAGTTCTGGAAGGATGAACCTGATGCAAAAAAATGATAATGATAATCCCAAAATAAATGAAAATAAAACAAACATATTTTGTAAAAAACAATGATGATTCACCAAGGGGAAGAGGTGTAACACACAAGGGGGGTATTAGATCCTATGGTTTATTTTTAGTAGGTAATCATTAACGCATGTTTCATAAAAATTTGGCATGTCAACAACAAAAACATAATTTTCCATAAATTTTTACTAAAACCAGTTTCAAATAATTTTTAAAATATTAAAAAAACCAAAAAAACAAAAAAAACAAAAAAAAAATGTGATTTCTTGACACAGCCTAAAACTAAGTAACCAGAGAAAGACCATTGACGCTGCTAAAGCAATTGAACATAAAGTGATGAACATAACCTGATTGAAGATTGCACGCTACAAAAGACAACAGCTGATATAGAATGTTGAGTACTGGTGAAGGTATCACACATCAAATTACTCATGCAAACAATCTGATTTAAGTTCACTTCATTGTACATGCATTGAAAAGGCAACAGCTGACACTAACTGTTCAATACTGGTACCGCTGAATTGTGAAGTACACATGATAACAGGTGATAGTGAGAGCCAGTCGAAGAAGTTGAGCACACACACCTGAAGTCAAAACAGGTCAGACATAAATCAATGGACAATTTGCTGTGCAATTGAATGATCCAGTCCAGTGCTCTGAAAATCTGAGATTCGACTTGGGACATGTGCCTACTACAGATTGCAATCTGCCTGACAAAAGATCAAATGTAAGCTCAAAAGACCAGCCATCAAGTTTTTCCCCACAAATGCTGCAAGCTCTGAAGGCGACATGGGCAATCCCACATTTCACCTGTCAAATTCTGCACATCACTCTCTATTAAAGAGTTCCGCAATGCGCATAGCAAAAGCCGGTGTGTATGTTTGAGATGCTTTCATTGCATCCTTCTTCCCTGTGAACTGATCACCATGCCGCTTCACCAGTGAGTGTTCAAAGGTTGGCCTCTCTGAATCCAGTTCAGCAAGCCGTGGCCAATTCGAGAATAAAGCCAGCGGTTTCAAGGACTCAGCTCCAAAGATGCCAAGATAGCACCCGTAGCGCTGGGCACCAATGAAATTAAGCACACCTCTCATTGGCACACACTGTGGTAAGCAGGAGCTTTGTGGCTGCTCCAGCACAAGCTTGAGGTGCAATGCGTACGCCAGGAACAAGATCAAAGAACTGATGGTTTGCAACATGTTGCCCGTTGTCACAAATGAACGTGTGCAGTCCCCTTGGAAGTTGTTGGCATGAGTTCGCTGAGATTGATGTCGGCACATCACCGTGAATGATGAACATTCGCAGGCCACCCAAGCCAGTCCATCCCGGCACACACAAGTCAAGGCATCTAGAATCAATTTCAAGCCTGAGCTTGTTTCAACATTGTGATCATGTGCTTCAAAGGTTATGTCAAATGCCGATCCACTCTTGCCACTTCTGAGAAGTTCACGGGTGAGGTTGGCTTGGCCTGCAAACACTTCAATGAAGTCTTGACAAGCGCCAGGATTCTCCTGATTCATGATGCCCCGGAATATCAATTTGGCCAGCATCCGGGTCAAGCTCAAGTTGTGAAAGCTCTCATCATAGCAACAGCTAAGAATCTGTGGCCATCGCTTGCATGCTTCACCCTCATTATACACCGAGTCCACATAGAGAAAGCGGTCGACCAACTCATGACAACTGCGCATGCATTGAAACTCCATTGGGGACAGGCGCCTGGCAAAGGGTCATGGCTCAAACACTAGACTCACTAGTCGTCATAATTAATTAATGCTCAAAATTTGACAAACATTGATTGACAATGACATGACTGACATTAGCTTTTTCTCAACCCCTCAACCTCGGAAATGAGGACCAGGCAAGAAAGTCTGCCAGTTTCCGATGACACGCTTCTTTGACCTTTTGGTTGAAGCAAATCTCTGCATCCAGAACATCTGCACTGACTGGGCCAAGCAAAGGCACTGGCTTCCTCAGCTTGAGAGCCTTCTTCCTCACTCTGTGGGAATTGGCCTTCTGATTCTGCATTGCTGCCAATGACATGGCAACAAAGGGAAACCAGCAAGCAGCCACACTTGGCCCTGGATGATGTTGCGACACACACCGGCTCTTCATGGCCATCGAAAAACTGGCATCAAATGAAATGTAAGCATCTATAGAATGAAACATGATGCAAGTGCTTGGCCTATGAAAGTGAGATGTCAAATGTTTGTTACCTTCAAGCATTATTCTAGGATGACTGTCAAGTGTCCCTCATGTCAAATGTGTTTTTACATAACGATAGACATTTGTTGCAACTTTGCCAGTGCTTGACCCTGACTGACAGTAAGTAACAATGCAATATTTTAAAGGTGGCCTGATGGTCTCCAATGAAAGCAAGTCTGGCCTACTCAACACTTAGGCTGATGTTCTGACACAGCAAATGTACCCTCAAGAGTGCAAAAATGATTAACACATTATATATATTCTATTACACGTTTACACATGTACTGTACAACAGATATTATCCTCCAGCATTCTGTGTGTTCTTTTCTGGCTGAGGCACAGGCCCTAGGAGACCAGCATTTGACTTGATGAATCAGGTCAAGCAGGAAGGAACCAGCCTCAGGCCAACATATCGTGCACAAAATAACAAAGCTTCATTGGTCATGGCTGTCAGGCGTCTCTCAAAGGATTGAAAGCTAAACAATACAGCCTACCACAACTCTACACCGACAACAGCAACGCAACAACATTTGAGTGGCTCTTGACAATATAAGGCTACCCCAATCAAGGTGTTTGACAAAGGACAATGACAAGTCTTTGAATCAATGACTGCGCAGAACATCCATTTTGCAATGGGCATATCGATCAGTGAGACATAAGCTTTGAAGCCAATGCTTATTTCTTTCTGCTGTACTTCTTCTTGGGCATCAATGCATCAATGTCAGGCCGCAAAGCATCCACAGTCGATTGCGGAACAAGGCCTTGTCGCTGAACTTTGCTCGATGGCAATGTGAATCCTTGCTGCCAGCTGAGTCACCAGTGACAACCATCCAGTCAAACCCACCAACAAATTAACAGTACCTACTGGACAAGAAACAAACAAACTGTTTTTTGATGGACAAGGATCCTGGTTCTGTTCTAAAGGACTTCCAATGCATCCATGCATGAAAGTGCGCATCTTTGAGAGCATCGACCCAACTTACCTCAACATTCTTGTCAAAGCTCTTGCTGTAGCTTTTAATGTGCAATGATTCAGAAAACTTCACAGTCCATCGATGATCATTGCCTCAGTTGATGAATGATATTCACAAGACCCTTGTTGAAAGAGATAAGAACTACTAACAACATGTTAATATATAAAATCATTGCA